CCCCAAAACCCCAAAACCCCAAAACCCCAAAACCCCAAAACCCCAAAACCCCAAAACCCCTTGACACAGTGAATCAGTTGAAATGTATTTTAACATTCTAGACATTGTTAGAAAGCATAGAGCCACTGAAGCCTAGATAAAACTTAAAGAGGAAGAATTAAGAGAAATGGGAGATCTACTCCGTTTTGTTAGTACTTAAAGAAGTCACATATTGACAGAGCTGATGGAAAAGCTTCATGAATGTGGTATTCTCACCACTCACCTTAATGCATTCGATACACTGCGTGTGGCATGAAGGGTTGTCAACCACATTAGCCTTTATGGAAACATTTACGTCATCAGTATTTGATTCTAAGAGCACTGTAGATTTATTACAATCCTTGGTGTAGCACAGTTCCTGTAACTCGGCAAATGAAATAATTGCCGAGAGGAGCACCTTGCCTGTTTCAAACATGAAATAGTCAGAGTATTTCTTAATCTGCATCCCTCTCTTCTTGAATCTTTTACAAAGGGAAATGTCGTCATCGTTAGGAATTTTAAAATTTTGGAACAGGAACTCTTTGCTGGGAAGAATTTCTGATACATCGCAGGCAGCTTTAGATTTCAATTTCATGTTAGCTATGAGTTCTTCCTTCTCTATCATTCAGGCATTAAACCATTCGTGCTCCTTGATATCTTCCAAGTTAGGCCTGTCTTCTACATTTGGGTGAACCATTTTAATGAAAAGATCTTGAAAAGATGCATAATTTTTAGTTCAGATCGAGTGGTGAGATTGTTCATGAATTTCCCAGAAACTTTCATAATCGCCTTCAATTATCTTGTTATAGCACTTATCCTTAGGAGATGCGGCTACAAATGGGAGAGTGCCCATTACTAGATTAAAAAGCACAACTCCTCAAGCAAACAGATCAGCCTTTTTGGGGTCGTATAGGTCTTTATTGATAATTTCAGGAGCCATATGAGAGTAAGTTCCTACTCTTTCATTCAAAATTTCGTATTTTGTCGAGAATCCGAAATCAGCCAATTTTAAATAGTATTCTTCATCCAAAAGCATATTTTCAGCTTTTATATCTGAATGAGCATAACCAAGCTTATGGATGCAATCAACCGCGCTTATTAGTTGTTGGAAATAATTCCGCGCTTCTTTATCAGATAGTTTGCCCGTTGACTCGATCAGTTGGTAGAGTTCTCCATTAGCACAATACTCCAACTCTATCATATAGATTGGAACTGGCTTAGGAGCCTTTACTCAAGCTGACTTTTTAGTCTTACTAAAGTTATACATCTTGATAACATGTGAATTGTCTACTTGTTGCAGTAGCTCGATCTCATTAAGGTAAACATCTCGGATATTCTGATACTTCCGGCTCCTGGGCATAATTTTAAGAGCTCACGATCGGTTGTTTTTCAAATTGCGTGCGAACTTGACTCTAAATTCATCATAGCACTCGCTCAATTTTTCAAGTAAAATCTCAAAAACTTACCTTGAAAAATAGCCTTGGCCAAGGTCTTTAATAAGTCAGTAGTCGCCAATAATTGACATATTCAGTTTTAATAAGAATTTATAATAAACCCAATCACAATAAAATATAAATGGCTTGGGGTTTTGGGGTTTTGGGGTTTTGGGGTTTTGGGG